ACAAAATTTCAAATTTGCTACAATGTTTTCAACTTATCTGCACACTACACAGACACGATGTATTTGTTTATGTAATATTTACTACCTTTATAAGTTCAAAACGCCTTTACATTTAAACAAATTAATAAAATTGAATGAGATCGATTAAAAGAATGAATTGTTTGGCTGATGATCATTGCTTTTTATTCTTGTGAACATCGAAAAAAATTTTTTTTTTGTGCATCATTTCACATCATAGAGATCGATATCCCGTAAAGTTGCCTATTTCTATTTTTAATCGACAAATTAATCCGATTTCTGACTATGAATTGGCATGGGATAGTTTCCATCGCTTATGCCAAATATAACGTTGCACATATATATAAATTTATTTTTCACGACTTTTTTTAAGACTTATACTTCATAATGTCTCTTCTCGATAACAATATTCCAGAATCTCAAGCTAATGATTTAGCCTTCTCAAAGGCTTTGCATGACCATGATACTGCTCGAAATGGTTTACTATCTACCATTACATCAAAGGATAAAACTGCCTTTGAAACTGTAGTGAAAAATTACATGGGCTATTGGGTTGAAAATGATCCCATAAATGAATCCGAAGAGGATAAAGAAGCAAGGAGAAATAATCACACTGACATGACTAATTCTTATTATAACATTGCTACAGACTTTTATGAAGTAAATTGTCCTTTATTTTATTTTACTTTATTTTTTTTTTAAAAAAAAGAAAAATGAATTCTCGCTTACGAATTCGTTTTTTCTTAGTATGGATGGGGTGAAAGTTTTCATTTTTGTAGGTTCAATTTCAATGAAAATTTTTACCAAGCCATAGCACGACATGAACATTATTTGGCAATGCAATTAAACGTAAAACCTAATATGAAGATTTTGGACGTTGGTTGCGGCGTTGGTATGAATTTTGCCTTTATTTTTAATTAATTTTTTTTTTTTAAAAAAAAAAATTAAATTATTTCTTATTGCTTTTCGTAAAAAGGTGGCCCAGCACGTGAAATTGCTCAATTCACAGGAGCTCACGTCACTGGTATTAATAACAACGATTATCAAATTTCTCGAGCAAGAAAAACTGCTGCAAGACTAGGTTTAGAAAACAAAACTGAATTTGTTAAAGGAAATTTTATGTCATTACCTTTTGAGGAAAATTCTTTTGATGCTGTTTACGCAATTGAAGCCACTTGTCATTCACCTGTATTAGAGGATGTGTACTCTCAAGTTTTTCGTGTTTTAAAACCTGGTGGCACGTTCGCCTTTTATGAATGGTGTACTACTGATAAATACGACCATAATAACCCTGAACACAGAAGAATTGTTCGTGGTATTGAGGTAACTATTATTAATTATTGTCGCGGATTATCGTGAAATCGGATCGTCATCTATTTTATTTATGATTTTTAAAAATTTTTGGGCCTTTTTTGTTATATTTGA